TTGTTAGTCTTAAAGGTGCCACAGGACCCTCTGTTGCTTTTTACAGATTCAGACTAACACGGCTACCCCTCTGATACGAAAGTATATTACATTTCTCTCCATTGTCTTCAGTGCTTTTCTGAGTATATTGAAGGTTTCATAGCCTAGTTTTCATATTTCATTATCACTCAGCAGCATGAGAATAATAGTTTTTAGCATAGCATACATAGCTGAAGCTCAAACATTCATTTCTATCCTTAGTTTCAACATTAACTTCCATCTGTTCTTCTCCCTTTTTTCTTTCATTTCCCTGTTTCCGTTTTTCCTCATGCTATGACATAAAAGTGATTGCACTGAAAAGACTGCCCTTTTTGAGGAACAGACCGAAGGAAAAAGACAAAATGAAGGCCATCTACCGTCGCTCCATGTGTAAGACTTTGACAGTTCAGCTTCTTTTAAATGGCTACACTGGCTTCCTTTACTAATTTTTCACTAACCTTTCCCCTGGACTGTGCTGTTTTTTTACTATTTTGCAATGTGCAAGTCCTGCTATAATACAAGAAGCTGTAAGATTTTTTTTAAAACCTTGGCACTGAATAATATATATATTATATATACACATACGCAATTTATTGTGATTACATTTTATATATTTGTAAACATATTTATTATATATACACATTGTGCATGCATGTGTATATGAATGTACAGTGCACTCTAGACATTTGAATAGTTTTAAATTCCACTTTTAGTAAGCATTTTTATAAACCACAAATATCTTACATTTTTGGTTTAAAGAATCTATAGAGAAAATAGTGCAAGGATATAAAGTGGTCTGTTACTCTTTTCAAATGTGTGTCATTTCTTCTTTACTAAAATGTTCTGTTTTTTAAAAAGGGGGTGGATACTTCTATAGTAGATCCTTTTAAATACTATAATGCAAAATACAGTATACCTGCAGTAACCTGCACTGAACAAGGACCCCAACCATTGCCAAAATTCATGTTGTGTTAGCACCTCTACCCATCTTACCCTTATTCATTCCATTTGTCTTTGCAAAACAACATATCAAAGCTTCTAACATATATATTGCATATCATTGCAGCACAAGCATGGCACTTGTATCTAATAATATTTATTAAAAATCATATCTGAACTGAAAGTATGGCCTGTAGTACTTTTCATTCATTGAGCTGATTGCATGTCATAACATGGATGATCTTGTGTTTGTAGCTTTCAATATTCAGTATGCATTGATGCTTAGACAAATGTCAAACTTTTTACAATACAAAATAGGAATTAAAAAAATACATTGAACCGTGCTGATTCATTTGCTTTCATTTGCATCCCAGCCATGAATGACCTGGTGCAGTCCATGGTCCTAGCAGGAGGACAATGGACAGGTAGTTCTGAGCATCTGGAGGGCCCTGATGATGTATCTACAGGTAAAAGGAAAAAAGAATTGGGAGCTATGGCCTTCTCTACTACAGCTATCAACTTTGCAACTGTCAACTCTTCTTCAGGCTTCAGATCCAAGCAATTGCTAAATAATAAAGGTATAGGTAGAAGCTTTTTGCTCTGTCATGATTATATTGGTAACAATTTTATATAAATCCGTTTTTACTCCTTCATATTTCATATTCTTCTGTAGCAAACAACCTGAATAATTGAATTACAGTACTAAGAAGTAATTGAATGGGTTTAATAGCTTTAATTGTAAAATACCTTAGATTTTTTTCCTACAGAAAGGCTACATAAGCAAAGATGAATTGTATTTCAAATAATTATTTCATTACATTTTACAGATGACAAATGTTTAAATTACATTTTTGCTGTGAAATTTAATTTATATACTGTTTTATGTCTTTATGTATAGATACTACATCCTTTGAAGATGTAAGTCCACAAGGCATTAGTGATGATTCTAGTACAGGATCAAGAGTTCATGGTAAGATGTGAACTTTAATTAAATAATAAATTGAGAATATATGATGTGAATGCTAACGATGTTTGCCCACACAGTGAATTACAGCATTGCAAGTGAGCATGTTTTCTATAATTTGCATATGACTTGACTATATAATCCCATTTCTTCAAACCTAATACTTTTTCTTTTTTTATAGAATAATCTTTCCACTAACAGTTGTGTATATTTAGTAGAAGATATCTATGAAATGCATCTTAACAGAATACAAATTTTTTTTGCCCATTTTCAAATATATTTGGGTTTAATTGTGAAAGAAAGGAAATTTTGACTTGCATTAAAAAAAACCTTTAGATTTCAGTGATTCATTTCTTGATTTTAAAGTAAAGTTTTATATATTTCATAGTACAAAATAAGTCTTTTCATCAAGTAAAATACAGAGTGAAAAAGCTAAAATAGAAGCACTTACAAGAAATAAAACAAACTATTTTTCTTTACTAAAATTTTAAAATGAATATAAACAAAATTGAAATAAAATATTGTTATTTAGTATTTTGGAAAATATTAACAGTGCAATTATTTCCCTTGTATTAATAGGTGCTAGAACTATGGGTGTGGGGGGTGCTGCAGCACCCTCTGGCTTGAAGTGGATTCCATTATATACAGCATTTAGTTTTAGTTCAATGGCTCTCAGCACCCTCATTATACAAATTGTTCCAGTGCCCCTGCTTATATTGGGGAGGAGCACAGGACATTAACTATGCAGATGCTCTTGCTTCTCCTGTTTGTGGCATTTCTACAGTGTGCAGGGTTACTTGTCAAATTTGTTGTAAGTGACCAAATCACAAGCAGCTTTCTGCACGCCATTGTGTTCTTCTGTAAAATCCTGGTTTCCCACTAGGAAATCTGTTTCAGTTCTAAACATGCACTCTGTTTTCTATTTTTCTTCCCCTTGTATCTTACTGTTCCCGTAGCATCCTTTACTAAAGTGTCCTCTTGGACTGCCTGGTAATCCCTTCGCTTTCTGATCTATAAGAAACAACACTTTGTTGACAATGGGGGTGCTCAGCCTGTGAAATAGTGCATGATTCCTACCTCAGAGCATTCTGTGATCAGAATGTAAAGGCGTAGTGTCATCTGCTAAAATTTTGTTTATCATTCTGTCTCCTTACTTTTCATTTAGCTTCCAGACCAGCCAGCCTTGATAGTGGCAGAACATCCACTAGTAATAGCAATAACAACGCTTCACTTCATGAAGTCAAAGGTATGGTGCAGGTGAATTGCCATCTGTGCTTCTTTTCCATGACTGTGTTTGTAAGATGGTCTGGTAAAATAATAAAATAAAAAATGCATGGCATGTTTTTCTTTTAACACTTTATGCCAGTGGTGGGCAACCTGCGGCCCACGGGCTGCATGTAGCCCGTCAGGGTAATCCGCTGGCGGGCCGCCAGACAGTTGGTTTACATTTGCATGGCCACCTGCAGCTCCGAGTGGCAGCAGTTTGCCCTTCCCGGCCAATGGGAGCTGCGGAAAGCGGCGGCGAGCACATCCCTGTGGCCCAAGCCACTTCCCGCAGCTCCAATTGGCCAGGAAACCGCAGCCACTAGAAGCTGCGGGAAGCTGTACAAATGTAAACAAACCATCTGGCAGCCTGCCAGTGGATTACCCTGACTGGCTGCGTGCAGCCCACAGGTTGCCCACCACTGCTTTACGCTCTTCGTTTTCCAAATTAGGGAAGAATATTAATAAAATAGACCTTCAAATGCATTTAGTAAATATTAAAATAGGAGCAATTACAATATATGAAGTTGAAACTATTTTAAAATAAATCTAAGATAGAACATACATAAGAATGGCCATACTGGGTCAGATCAGTGGTCCATCTAGCCCAGTATCCTGTCGTCCGACAGTGGCCAATTCCAGGTGCTTCAGAGGGAATGAACAGAACAGGTAATAATCAAGTGATCCATCACCTGTCGCCCATTCCCAGCTTCTGGCAGACACAGGCTAGGGACACCATCACTGACTATCCTGGCTAATAGCCATTGTTGGACCTGTCCTCCATGAATTTATCTAGTTCTTTTTTGAACCCTGTTATAGTCTTGGCCTTCACAACAATCTCTGCCAAAGAGTTCTATAGGTTGACTGTGTGTTGTGTGAAGAAATACTTCCTTTTGTTTGTTTTAAATCTGATGCCTATTCATTTCATTTGGTGACACCTAGTTCTTGCGTTATGAGAAGGAATAAATAACACTTCCTTATTTACTTTCTCCACACCAGTCATGATTTTATAGAACTTTATCATATCCCTCCTTCGTCATCTCTTTTCCAAGCTGAAAAGTCCCAGTCTTATTAATCTCTCCTCATATGGAAGCTGCTCCATACCCCTAATCATTTTTATTGCCCTTTTCTGTATCTTTTCCAATTCCAATATATCTTGTTTGAGATGGGGTGACCAGATCTGCACGTAGCATTCAAGATGTGGGCATACCATGGATTTATATAGAGGCAATATAATATTTTCTATCTTCTTATCTATTCATTTCCTAATGATTCCCAACATTCTGTTAGTTTTTTTGACTACCTCTGTACATTGAGTGGATGTTTTCAGAGAACTATCCATAATGACTCCAAGATCTCTTTCTTGAATGATAACAGCTAATTTAGACCCCATCATTTTATATCATAGAATCATAGACTTTAAGGTCAGAAGGGACCATTATGATCATCTAGTCTGACCTCCTGCACAACACAGGCCACAGAATCTCACCCACCCACTCCTGTATCAAATCTATGTCTGAGCCATTGAAGTCCTCAAATCATGGTTTAAAGACTTCAAGGTGCAGAGAATCTTCCAGCAAGTGACCTGTGCCCCACTCTGCAGAGGAAGGCGAAAAACCCCCAGGGCCTCTGCCAATCTGCCCTGGAGGAAAATTCCTTCCCAACTCCAAATATGGTGATCAGCTAAACCCTGAGCATGTGGGCAAGACTCACCAGCCAGACACCCAGGAAAGAATTCTCTGTAGTAACTCAGATCCCACCCCATCTAACATCCCATCACAGGTCATTGGGCATATTTACCGCTAATAGTCAAAGACCAATTAATTGCCAAAATTAGGCTATCCCATTATTCCATCCCCTCCATAAACGTATCAAGCTTAGTCTTGAAGCCAGATATGTCTTTTGCCCCCACTGCTCCCCTTGGAAGGCTGTTCCAGAACTTCACTCCTCCAATGGTTAGAAACCTTTGTCTAATTTCAAGGCTAAACTTCCTGATGGCCAGTTTATATCCATTTGTTCTTGTGTCCACATTGGTACTGAATTTAAATAATTCCTCTCCCTCCCTGGTATTTATTCCTCTGATATATTTATAGAGAGCAATCATATCTCCCCTCAGCCTTCTTTTGGTTAGGCTAAACAAGCCAAGCTCTTTGAGTCTCCTTTCATATGACAGGTTTTCCTGGATATCAGGTTGGTTTGGCACGATCTACCTTTTGTAAAACCATGTTGTATTTTCTCCCAATTACCATTGACCTCAATGTCCTTAACTATTTTCTCCTTCAAAAAATTTTCCAAGACCTTGCATACCACAGATGTCAAACTAACAGGCCTGTTGTTGCCCGGATCACTTTTTTTTCCCCTTTCTTAAAGATAGGAACTATGTTAGCAATTCTCCAGTCATACAGTACAACCCCTGAGTTTACAGATTCATTAAAAATTCTTGCAAATAGGCTTGCAATTTCATGTGCCAGTTCCTTTAATATTCTTGGATGAAGATTATTTGGGTCCCCCGATTTAGTCCCATTAAGCTGGTCGAGTTTGGCTTCTACCTCGGATGTGGTAATATCTACCTCCATATCCTCATTCCCATTTGTCATCCTACCATTATCCCTAAGCTCCTCATTAGCCTCATTAAAGACTGAGGCAAAGTATTTGTTTAGATATTGGGCCATGCCTAGATTATCCTTAACCTCCACTCTATCCTCAGTAAAACACAAGCAGTTTCTCCTCCCTTGGTGTTCACACCTCAACTGCTAGCAGAGCACCTCACCCTCCCTGATTGAACTAACCTCGTTATCTCCATATAGATTTATACCTGCCTCTGGAAATTTCCATTATTTGCATCTGAAGAAGTGAGGTTCTTACCCACGAAAGCTTATGCTCCCAATACTTCTGTTAGTCTTAAAGGTGCCACAGGACCCTCTGTTGCTTTTTACAGATTCAGACTAACATGGCTACCCCTCTGATACTTGACTCCTCCTCAGTGTTTAGCAGTCCCACTTCTTCTTTCTTTGTTTTCTTCTTATTTATATGGCTATAGAACCTTTTACACCTTTTACTATTGGTTTGAATTCCCTTTGCAAGGTCCAACTCTACATGGCTTTTGGCCTTTCTCACTTTGTCCCTACATTTTCTGACCTCAGTAAGGTAGCTTTCCTTGCTGACCACTCCCATCTTCCACTCCTTGTAGGCTTTCTGCTTTTTCTTAATCACCTCTCTGAGGTGCTTGCTCATCCAGCTTGGTCTACAACTCCTTCCTAATGAATTTTTTCCCCTTTCTTGGGATGCAGGCTTCTGATAGTTTCTGCAACTTTGACTTGAAGTAATTCCAGGCCTCCTCCACCTTTAGATTCACAAGTTTTTCTTCGAGTGCTTGCTCATATCGATTCCAATTAGGTGTGCGCGCGCTGCGTGCACGATCGTCGGAGAAATTTTCTACCCTAGCAACACCCGGTGGGTCGGCTGTGGAGCCCCCTGGAGTGGCGCCTTCATGGCGCTGGATATATACCCCAGCCGACCCAGCACCCCCTCAGTTCCTTCTTACCGCCCGTGACAGTCGTTGGAAATGTGGAGCGCGGCATAGCTGTTCTCCACTCTCCCTAGCTTTACCCGTTGATTCTTGTAGATAGTTGTTAATTGTGTTTTTTAGATTAGCAGTTGTTGTTAATAGTTATAAATAGTTTTTTGTAGTTAGCGGGGGTTAAGGGGGCCTTTGTTCCCCCCTTCCCCCTCCCAGCGCACAGCCGGACTCATGCCCAAGGCTCTCGGCTTTAAGCCTATGCTAGGCCTATGCCAACGGGAGACCCCCATGACTCTTGTCTGAAGTGCTTAGGGGAGTCTCACCAAACGGATAAGTGCAAGATTTGCAAGGCTTTCAGGCCAAGGACGAAAAAGGAGTGGGACTTCAGGCTTAAGCAGCTCCTCATGGAAGTGGCACTTAGCCCGGATCCTCCTTCAGCGCGCCAGGTTCCGGCACCAAGCGCCTCCGTGCGTAGTGCCCCAGCGGCTCCGTCCGGTACTGCACCACGGGCAGACGTGGAAAAGGCGTCATGGCACCGTCCTCCCTCGGCACTGCGTCCGCCGCAAGCCCCTCGGCGCCGGTCCCTGTCTCCGGGACATAAAAGGCCCCGTAAAACTCAGGACACTGCCATCCAACAGGCACCGGCTCCCCCGCACCGGTGGTAGAGCCACGCCCGGCTTCCGAACGCCAGAGGGTGCAAGTATCATCAGCACCGTTGACTCCGGCGCCGGGTGTAGAGCCGTTGAGTCCGGTGCGGACTGGCTCACCGCCTCGTCAGGTGGTGGAGCCCTGTCTCCCTTCTACATCGGAGATGTTTGCCACGGCGAGAGACCTCATCGCCCTCACGGAGCCGGCGCCTTCTCAACCCGCGGCACCGCATGCCCTTCGTATGGTACAGTCCAGGGGCAAGCCTACCCTGATACGGCCGCCATCTCTGGACATGGACTCGCGGCTCCACTCCCGGTCTCGGAGCAGGTCTCGACGCCGCTCGCAGTCCCGGCACCGATCTCCATCTCGGTGCCGGTCGTACTCGCGGCACAGATCTACCTCCCGGCACC